TACACAACTAATATCCACCCTTGGTCGCCTTTGCCAGACTCTTCGGCATCATGACATACATTGCTCGATTACCAGCCTTCTTGAACCGAAGTAGTGATCCGCATGACGTGGTGTGTCAAAGAGATCATGCATTCCAAAGTAGGCCCTAACATTCTACCACAATTTGAGGAATAAAAATAAATCATTCTTTGAATATTGCATTGGCCACCTCCACTACCAAAACATATTTTCATCACAGTCGTGTGTTCTACTGTGCCGATGAGACTGTTGACACATCTTCCTCGACCGTGCGCTCACATGCAATTTGGAGCCCCCCTGGCGCGCAATTGTGCTGCCTATGTCTAGTACATCGATGCCGAGCTGTGGGCTTATCCGCTGATGGCATTACTCCCTCCTTGTCTTATGCAGAGAAGCTCAAGTCGATAGTGATCGTCGCTTTCCTTTGGGAGATATGGAAAAGCAGGAACACTAGGGTCTTCAGCAATGAGTGCCCATTAGCGAGCTACGTCGGTCGCAACATTGTTGTGGACATCCTCCTCTAGTGTTGGCATTGCTCATGCTCGATCTTCAAGTCCAATCTTGAAGCTTGGGTGCAAAGGTTCATACCATCGCTATAGCTGCCACACAAGTGTTATAAACCACCTCCTCCATTTTTACATGTTTGCGCTACTTAGCGCTTCTTACCCTCGATTTGTTTCAGAACCTTTTGAGGACTTTAGAGAGTTTTTCAACCCTGCTGTAACCAGTGCAACTGAACTTTTGTTGTGGTTTTAATTTGTTTTTGAATTTTAGTGACATGGTAAATCTATGTTGTGTATAACTCAGAGTTTTAAAAAGGTCTTCGAGCTTTTGGTGTGCCGGCTGCCGCCTTAACCCAGCGAGTGGCCAGTGGGAGGGAGCGAGAGAACTTGTAAGACATGCCTAAAATGGGAAGGGAAATAAATGAAAGAAGTATTTTCTCCGGTCGGGATCGAATCGAAACGGGAAAGAATTGTCACGCGCGCTACCCCACCATATCCGCTCCACCCAGCTTCGGGAGGCCGACATCGTGAGAAAGCTGCACCAGTCAGCCGCGCCCACACCCGCGGCTAAACCACCGCCAAGCGAACCGGCAGCCGGCAGACGCCCCCACCCACCCAGCACGAGACAGGCGAGAGCACCGAGCGACGTGCCGACGACATGGGCGACGTCGCCGTGGCAGCGGGCGGGCTCTCCTCCCCGCCGACCCCGCCGCCGCCGGAGCTGGGCATGGTGGCGCGCGCCGTGGAGCGGCTCGTGGCGCGGAACGACGCGCTGCTGCTGCTGGACGCGGAGCAGGGCGGCGGCGAGGGGATCACCGGGATGGCGGCGTTCGAGGGCACGGGCCCGCCGCGGATCGGCGTGGCGCAGTACCTGGAGCGGGTGCACCGGTACGCGGCGCTGGAGCCCGAGTGCTACGTGGTGGCCTACGCGTACGTGGACCGGGCCGCGCACCGCCGCCCCGCGGCCGCCGTCGCGTCCAAGAACGTGCACCGGCTGCTCCTCGCATGCCTCCTCGTCGCCTCCAAGGTCCTGGACGACTTGTAAGTTTCCTTTCTCTTCTTCCTTCCATGCTACTCGACGACCGACGCAATAACAGAGTAGGAACTCTATCACCATTGCCGTCAAGCTAGACAAGAACAGCCAAAGAAGCATAACCATCACGTACTAATGATGTACACTAGCTACTAAGACAGTGCCGTACGACCGAAGGGCAGAGCTAGGGATCCAGACCAACCATGACCACAACTAACTTTGGAAAAATACTAGTGGTACTTTGTATGGCAGTGAGGCACTTTCATTCAAGTGGAAGAAAGGGAAGGGGCGTGTACGATTTTGCCTGTGCTCGACCAGTTATTCCCTGTCACGTCAGTTGGTTCGGTGTTACCACACACTCAAGTATAACGACTGGTAGGTGTAGTACGTACACTGGCTATGTTTTTTACACTGGCTATGTATGTGGCGCTTCATGCATGATCCGTCCGTATTTAATTATGTCGTCGTCAAACAAAAGTTTAGACTCTTCAAAGTACAGTACATGACAGGTACCTCCATAAATAAACAACGTCTTGATCAGACAGATCACGGAGATATACTGCGTGATTGTTGCCTGACGTAGTGACGTTGATCAGGATGAATGCCCAAGTCACATTTTGCTCGATTGGCGCTTTTTCACACATTCACGCATGTTCCATGGTGAAAATTAATAAGTAAACTGATTAACTGAACCCTGTTGGATCTTGCCTGACATGCGGATACATGTGGGGTGCATGCAGCCACCACGACAACGCCTTCTTCGCGCGCGTGGGCGGAGTGAGCAACGCGGAGATGAACAAGCTGGAGCTGGAGCTCCTCGGCGTGCTCGACTTCGAGGTCATGCTCAGCCGCCGCCTCTACGACCTCTACCGCGCGCACCTCCACAAGCAGCAGGCCGACGGCCACCACGACACGTCCATCAAGCCGGATCAGGAGCCCTCGAGGGTCGACGGCGGCGAGGAGGACCACGACGATGACCGGATAACGCGGCTGCCGGAAGGCGTCTTGCGGTACGACTGGAGCCAGCAGGCGCCGGCGGCGAACGGCGGGCGGCGACACTCGTCGTCGCAGGCACCGTCGCGGTACTCCTAGGTAGCTTCTGCCTTCTGGGCTAGGCCACGTACAGCGATCGATGTGCACATTAACTAACTGTATACGTACTGCTCGGATTCGATGTGTATGGACGGTGAGTGGAATACAAACCTCCTCCCGTCGTTTTAATTCCAGGCAGGAATGAAGATGTCACCGGTAATCTAGACCTGTAAAATAAATACAGGTGTAAAAACTTACACCCATTCTAAAAGGGTGTTTGTTTCCAGGGACTTATTGATTTAGGGACTTAAAAAAATTCCTATAAGTCCCATCTAAACCAAACAAGAGGGACTTATAGGGACTTAAAGTGGGCATTTGAGACTTATGAAATAAGACTCTCAAGGAGGAACTTATAGGGACTTATAGTTGTAATATGGTTTTTTAGTCAATGTTAAGTCTCAGGAACCAAACAGGTAGAGACTTTTTAGGGACTTGGGACTTATAAGTTGAGACAAAAAAAGTCCTAAAACTTATGAACCAAACAGAGCCTAAGCAGGGCGTAAGGTTGGAGTTAAATCTGCCGGTACTGTACCTGCTTAAACTTGAATGCCAAGAACCTTGCATGCAAGCATTGCCTCCTTTTTTGTTAAGTGCTGTCCTTTTTTCCTTTTGTATGTGTGTTTGTGTTAGTGTGTGACACATTCAGTTCAGTTCGCCCACCCTTAAAAAATTATCCAGAACACTCCAATTTTATATACATGGAACACATTACATTATATTGTTAATTTCAAGTTTAAGTATTGTTTTGAAACAATTTTTACTATTTGTGTATTAAATGGACTTATGGCTGGATATAATTTAGATTTGAACTACAATTATCTCAAATAAGATATTAAATTTTTTATTTGAATATGAATAATCCAAGTAAGCCTCATAAAATTTTGCAAATAATTTCAAGCAATTTTGAACAGGCAACAACTTAGATATTTTCTAAATTGAAAAAAAAGAAAGACAAAAAAGGGACGCATTTTTCGTATTTAAATTTCCGTCCATAATAAAAGATACAAGAGATACATGGATGAAGGAGAATGAGGAAGGCTAATTTCCTTCCGGCAAGGGAGAACATATAGAGACACGACTAGAGGAGTGCATTCTATTAAGAGAATGATTTAAGTAGATGGCATAGATACAAGTCATCAATGTATACTCTTAGTGGAAATTTTTAAACAAATTATTTGAGAATAGATAGACATTAAGTGAATAAAAAAAATGCAAAAGGATGTTGGAGATAATCATGAAAGCCAAATGAATCTACAAGATGGGTTTGGGAACTCAATGCCACCGATTTTTAGTTATTACACACCAAAGTTTTTTTTATAAAACATTAGATACTTAATGCAAGGGTTTCTACCAAAGTCTAAATCCTGTATTTTAGGACACATCAGTAGCTAGATTATTATCATGATATATTAAAGCTAACATAGCGACTCAAATAACAACTGAAAGCAGGAGTAAACATCTAGCCGCGCAAATGGGCGGATCACTCGGCTAGTTTTAATAAAAATAAATACAATACTAGAAATTTAACAACTTAGTTTTTCTAGTGGGGTTCTTTCTTGAGTATATATGGGGCACTAGATCATTCTTCCCACACGACCAAAGTCAGAAGAAGGATAAGTCAACCTTGTCAACAAAATCGCCAGTTATACCCCACAAGTTGATCTATGTAGAACTAAAACATTTAGGAACTATGAAAATGGATACACTAGTCCTTGTGGTGGGATGAACAAAAGCATGATGCACGGTGGATTTACAAAATACTAAGGTGATTGAGAACTTACAAACTTCCACACACATAAAGTACCTACTTCTTAAACATTATTGGGATTTACTAATTCTCATATAGATGGGAATTAATTTTTTTCTTGAGAATAAGATTGGAATTAGTTAAGTGTCATCTATCTAACTCTATAATATAGGGGAAATGATATGGTTCAGCCGGCGGATTAACAAGCTTGCGTCCACCGTCTTAGTTGCACGCCATGCGTCCCATGTGGCATGGTGAACCAGCCCCCCATGATCTCTCCTTTCTTCAACAACGCATCTATTGAAGAAAAAAAGATTGCAACAAGACCCCTATTACAAAAACAATTAAATTGCAATAAGGCCTCTGTTGCAAAAAAATGTAACAAGATCTCTATTGCAAAACAAAATGTAACATGACCTCCGTTGCACAAAAAACTGTAACAAAACATATGTGGCAAAAATAAAACTGCAACCTGACCTATGTTTTGCGAAAAAATTGCAACATGACCCGTGTTGTAGAAAATTACCGTTACACGACCTTTCTTGCAGTGGTAGAAGGTGGCGCTCACCCCTCAATCCGCCAGACCGACTCTCGCGAGGCGACAAACCTTTTAAAAAGATTCGTTAGCCGATGCGTAGAAGCACCCTTGTATTTTTGATTTTTTTACATTTTAGAGTTTTTTTAAAAGATGGGTACATTGCTTTCACATGAGTGTGTTCACAATTCAAATGTGCGCAACTTATTTGTCCATCTTGGATCCGTAACTTGTTTGATTATGATTTAGTTTTATGCTCCAACATAGTTACATATCCATCCCAGCACGGAACTTGCCCCAGTACTTACCTAGTTGCATATCTGTTCTTGATACGTAACTTGATCCTAACTAACCCAGTTATATGTTCACTTTTAATACATAACCGGTCTGACCTAGCTGCATGTTCAGACCAACACGTAATTTGCCCAACTCCGATCTAGTTGCATGTTCACACTCGACATTCAACACTCAACTTGCTAATATGTCCACCTCGACACGCAACTTGTCCTCGACACCTAACCAGTTGCATGTGGACCCTTGACATGTAACTTGCTCAACTTTGATCCAGTTGCATGCCCACCCTTGACACACAACTGTTGGAAACATGTCCTGGAGGTAATAGTATTGTTACCATTACTATCAAAATATCATATTATTGTGCTATTGATCACTTTGCTGTAGATATTTAGTCTCCATGTGTGGTTGAATTGAAAACTCAATTGCTAATACTTACAAATATTTTTTGGCTCCCCTTGTGTCGAATCTATAAATTTGGGTTGAATACTCTACTCTCAAAAACAGTTGCGATCTCCTATACTTGTGGGTTATCAGCGGGTTTAAAGTTATATGGAGACTAAAAAGAAACAGAGGGTGTTGGGATGTCTCAATAGCACCCTAGTGTAGGAAGCACAAGTATGGACGTGGACTCCTGCATTTACATGTCTGATGACCCACAAGTATAGGGGATCTGTCGTAGTCCTTTCGATAAGTAAGAGTGTCGAACCCAACGAGGAGCAGAAGGAAATGATAAGCGGTTTTCAGTAAGGTATTCTCTGCAAGCACTGAAATTATCGGCAACAGATAGTTCTGTGATAAGGTAATTGGTAACGAGTAGCAAGTAATAAAAGTAAATAAGGTGCAGCAAGATGGCCCAATCCTTTTTATAGCAAAGGACAAGCCTGGACAAACTCTTATATGATGTAAACGCTCCCAAGGACACATGGGAATTATTGTCAAGCTAGTTTTCATCACGATCATATGATTCGCGTTCGGTACTTTGATAATTTGATATGTGGGTGGACCGGTGCTTGAGTGCTGTCCTTACTTGGACAAGCATCCCACTTATGATTAACCCCTATTGCAAGCATCCGCAACTACAATAGAAGTATTAAGGTAAACCTAACCATAGCATGAAACATATGGATCCAAATCATCCCCTTACGAAGCAATGCATAAACTAGGGTTTAAGATTCTGTCACTCTAGCAACCCATCATCTACTTATTACTTCCCAATGCCTCCCTCTAGGCCCAAACAATGGTGAAGTGTCATGTAGTCGGTGTTCACATGACACCACTAGAGGGATGACAACATACATCTCATCAAAATATCGAACGAATACCAAATTCACATAACTGCTAATAGCAAGACTTCTCCCATGTCCTCAGGAACAAACGTAATGTAACACCCACGATGCGGCTATATCTCCCACGTGTCGGAGCACAACTTAGAGGCATAACCGCATTGTAGGCAATGTCGCAAGAGGGGTAATCTTTACACATCCCATGTACTGAAAAAGAAAGAGGTACATAGTTGGCTTACAATCGCCACTTCACACAATACATAAATATAGCATTACAATCATCCAGATACAATCAAGGTCCGACTATGGAACCAAAATAAAGACAACCCCAAATGCATAAGATCCCCGATCGCTCCAACTGGGCTCCACTACTGATCGTCTGGAAAGGAAACGTAGTATCGTCCTGAGTCCTCATCGAACTCCCACTTGAGCTTAGTCGTATCTCCTGGAATGGTATCATCGGCACCTACATCTAGTTTTGGAAGTAATCTGTGAGTCACGGGGACTCAGCAATCTCACACCCTCGCGATCAAGACTATTTAAACTTATGGGTAGGTAAAAGGTATGAGGTGGAGTTGCAGCAAGCACTAGCATATATGGTGGCTAATCTTACGCAAATGGGAGTGAGAAGAGAAAAAGGCAAGGCACGGTCGAGAATCTATGATCAAGAAGTGATCCTAGACTAATTACGTTCAAGCATAACACGAGACCGTGTTCTATTCCCAGACTCCGCCGAAAAGAGACCATCACGGCTACACACGCCGTTGATCCATTTTAATTAAGTTAAGTTTCAGGTTTTCTACAACCGGATATTAACAAATTCCCATCTTCCCATAACCGCGGGCACGGCTTTCGAAAGTTTAATACCCTGCAGGGGTGTCCCAACTTAGCCCATCACAAGCTCTCATGGTCAACGAAGGTTATTCCTTCTCCCAGGACGGCCCGATCAGACTCGGAATCCCGGTTACAAGACATTTCTACAAAGGTAAAACAAGACCAGCAAAGCCACCCGAATGTGCCGACAAATCCCGATAGGAGCTGCACATATCTCGTTCTCAGGGCACACCGGATAGGTCAAGCTACGAGTAAAACCAACCCTCGAGTTGCCCCGAGGTGGCCCCACAGGCTGCCCGTTTCG